CCCCCCCTCCTCCTTATAAAAGCATATTTGAGCGAAATTAAAACAGGGTTTCGAAACCTAGATGAGGGGCGACGGTGGCGGGATGGGAGGCGTAAGACTTTTTCAAGTCGCTTCCCCTGAAAGTGGCGTAAAAACGGCAATTTCCCTCTTTTGTCCTTTGGAGATTCTAAAAATGGCGGCCTCAGGCTGATGTTGTGGTAATCTAATCAGCTCGGGTCCTCCACACCCCATGCAGTACGTTTGTCTGCAGCACATTAGAGGCTTAATATGCTTAAATCAAAAAGCTGTCGTCGTCTTCTCGTCGTCGTGGACAAAACATGCCTCGTCCTTCCTTCCTTCCTTCCTTCCTTCCATGAAAATGCTCTGTTCCAGTGTATTAATTTGAGGGGTTATTTGTGTGAAAGGCAAATCAAGCAGGCTGCTCTGAGGAGAGAGGGAAAAGACGAGGGGAGCTGCTGTGGTTGTGTGCGTGTGTGTGTATATATTTGAAAGGAGTCCTTTGGCATGCATGCCATATTCATCTTTCCACTTTTGTTTGTAAAATGGAGGACGAGTTCCTCTCTGCCCCTTCTGCTTAGACTTGTGCTGTGGTGTGCCTGCCCAAGAAGGAAAATTTAGAAAATTAAGAACAAAATGAAACAGTCGTGGCTGCACAGGATGCTTCGTTTGAGGGAGGACTGTCAAACAATATAATTTCTAATCTATAAATAGCCTGCCCCTGTTGGATATATATTTCCATGGTTCCCTTTGTCCCTGAGGAATTACACAGAGAAATTTAAAACTTATGACTTTGCCCCCATTCCCCTTTGGTTTTTAATATCCTGTGTGTGTGTGTGTGTGTATGCATTCTGCACTTCTTTTCTCTATGTATATGAAATAGTGGTCTTTCTTAAGGTCCTAAATGCTCCTCACAAAATTATTTATTTATTTGGAGTATTTATACTCTGCTTTTCAGCCACAAAGGCTCTCAGAGCAGCTTACAAATGGAATTACAGGGTTCCCTGTCCTCAGGCTTACAATCTAACTAGTAGTGATTTTTATTTTTTTAAAAAAAGACACCTTTTTGTAGTCTCTTGCTTGCCAAGTAAATAAAGGAATGTATTTCTACTCTGTTGGATACAGTGGAGAATACCATGTTTATATAACAGTGCTGCATATGAAAGTTTCAGTTCCTTATGTTTTTATGATTTTGCAGTTTAAATGTGTTGAGGCCCAAGTTCAAGCTTTAAAATATCTTTGGGACTTCTAGGCTATAAAAGCCCTAAAAGAAGTATTGGCACTGGATCCCTTCACCACATGAACAGCCTTAATTTACATATGGTAACTTTCACTGTCTTGCATAATTGACAGCCTTTTTCTTAGGTATGTGAGAGAGAGCGAGATATGCATTAAGTACGAGGCTGTTCATGTATGCCTTCAAGTGTGTTGTGAGTCCTAGAGCATTATAGTTTAAACATGATGTAGTATAATAATTGTCCAGGAACATTAATGTTGTCAGAATTGCTATCATTTTAATGATACATGTATATATTTTATGGCGTTGGAACTACAGGATTGTTTGTTTAAAGCTTCTGATGTATTCATAGAGTATAGCGTTATAGTTCAGCTATTCACTGAATTTTCATGTATAACCCCCCTCCCCCAAAACAGTCTTGTGTTACTGCTTACACTGACATTTGGTTGTTTGATCCAAATTAGATTCCAGCAAAAGTAACATTAATACTGATGACCTGACAAGTGCTTTTCATTGCATATTCCATAATTGCTGAACTGTATGCTGAAAGAAGCCATCCCTAGAATTTTGTGTTTGTTCAGAACCGACCTGTCAATCTAATCTCTTCATATAGAATTGAAGCCATCTTAAACCCTTTGTTCTACATTGTTCCTAACCTTCAGTGCTGGCAATGTTGCATCCTTACTGGTGGGTCTGATCTACATTCCAGTTTGGAATTACTCATCTTAACAGCCTCAATCTCTGCATGCTTACTTAGAAATAAATTCCATTTTATTCAGTGGACTTACTCTCAGATGTTCATGGGATTGTAGCCTTACACACACCTTCTGAGAAATAATGCTCACTGTGTTCAGTGGTACTTACTGCAAAATCAGCATTCTTAAGATTGCAATCTATATGATACTCTAATTATCATTTTAAATCTGAATTAGAAAGTAGCCATCAGTAGGCTCAGAGTATGGCCTCTTACTGAGTCACTTGTTCCTGTCTCTGTGGTTCAGATATTGGATGGCTTCTCTCCTGTTCTTGGGGATGTTTCTAAGGCAGGTCCCTGGCATTAAGACGATGGATAATGTTTCATCACAGTAAAGATGTAGTCAATAGTAGATTTAAAAAAAAACAGGAAAATATCTGGGGTTCAAAGGTGATACAGCTGCCTTCCAAGCATATTGAAATATACATTTAAAGTTTAAAATAAGAAAGTATGTTGAAGAATTGCAAGAGCTATTTGACTACATCTAAAAAGGCAGTCTGGTCTAGTGGTTTGACTGTCGGACTATGACTTTGGAGACCAGGGTTCAAATCCCTGCTTGGCCATGGAAACACACTGGATGACCTTGGGCAAGTCATGCATTCTCCGTGAAAAGGTATACCTCCTCTGAATAACTCTTGCCAAGAAAACCCCATGATAGGTTCACCTTTGGGTTGCCATAAGTTGGAAGCAACTAGAAGACACACAACAACAACAAAAAGACACCAAATTCTGTCTGAACTTGGAAGCTATGTAGGGTCAGCTCTGGTTAGTACTTGGATGGGAGACCAACAATAAACTCCAGGTGCTGTGGGCTATATTTTAGAGGGAGGACCTGGCAAAACCACCTCTTGAGTATTTCCTGCCTAAGAGTAGCCTGTGAAATTTATGGGGTTGCCAAGAAAAGCGACTTGAAGGCACATATATGCATAAATATTAGTTAGAAATTTGGCGAAAACTATTGCATGGTTTATATGTATTTCCATATATGGACGTACATTAATAGATTTCACTTGTAGACCAATACTGTGCATGTTTACTTAGAATTAATTGCTTTTTAGTGGGGCTGATTCCCATTTAAGTGTGTATAGGAAGGAATACATCCTTGGTCCTTTACATAGCACATTCAGTATTTTCAACTGGTAATAATGGAAAAAAGGAAGTTGTGATATAGACCTCAGATCATTTTACTTCAGTGTACGTGAGCTGTCCTTTTATTTCTAATATTCTCAAAAAGTGAAATAATTATTTAATTTGAGCATGGCTTGATAATGATTTCATACCATAAATGACATCAGAGAAACTTTTGGGAAATCTACAAATATTTGAGTGAGTAACCTTTGGTTGGATTCTGATACTTTTTTTCAGAATTAAATTTATTTTAATAAATTCTGAACAATGGAGCATAAGCTAGACAAAGACAGAATTTATTAGATTAGAATATTTTTTGTTATTTCACCTCTGAACTAGGATGGGCAGAAGGTAGGAACTACTGGTAGATATCTGGGTTATTTGTTATACAATGGCCTCCTTCCTCCCAGCTGGTAAAATTGAGAAAATTGGGGAGGAATAGTGGACTCTGTGTGTGTGCGCGCGCACACACACTATATATGTATGGCTATGCAGACTGTAACCTGAAATCTAGTATTTAAAATATTTTGGGGGGTTCGGCACATGGTCTGAGATGCCCTGTTTTTTTCATTCAAGATGTATGTTAACCTTTAAATCCATTCTTTTTTCCTGATAGAACTCAGAATTTGAGCAAATGTGCACAGAGAGATAGAAGTTTGACATTCAGCTACTCATTATCTACAGTTGTAAAAGACCAAGATCTAACTCCAACTGCTTGTCCCAACTAGAGTAGAACTGTTGACTGATAAACCAGCACTTACATAAGTTCCACTGATGCAGTTGAGAGGAGGAGTTGTAGTTAGTTGAGAGGAGGAGTTGTAGTTAGCCCTGAATCTGTACTAAACTACATTAATGTTTGCACATTGATGAACTATGGTTGGTTGATCCAGAGATGTCTTTCTGCTCATGAAAGGAGTTTTTGTTCTCAGAAGTGTTATGTGAACCTTTTGCTCTTTCTGTGATCTAAATAAGGCTTTTGGATCCAACCTATGAATGTAAGGGGTTATGCAGACGGGTGGCTCTGGGCTGCCCTTCTTAGCAGCGGATCGGGGCCACAGCAACCACACTCCATGGCCCTGACCCTGATCCTCCCTTTTGCCGCCCCTAAAAGAGCAGCAAAATGCCGCTTCTTTTAGGGGTGGCAAAAGGGCACCATAAAAGCTGGCGTTGCAGCTCTTTCACGCCCTTTCGGTGCCCCTTGTCTACACGCTGCGCCAGGAGAGCGTCCTAATGCCGCACGCCATGTGTATGGGCTCACGTCATCAGGCTGGGGTTGGGGCAGCTGGTATGCGGCTGCCCCGCCCCAACTCCAGCCCCAGGCCAGCCCTTTAGGACAGTCTGCAGAGCCCCTAAGACTGGTATATATACTTTTGGTCCTTGAGATTTTCACCAAAATAATATCAGAAATAGAAATCTATGTAATACGAAGTGCAGATGATAACATTCAGATGGATTGTTATGTTCCTGGAATATAACAGTATTATTATTCTTTAAATTATTGACTGTGTACCCCAAATGCTAAATTTTAATTAGTCTGTGATATAATGGAAGACACTAGTTTCTTGCTAGTAAACTGCATGTTGAAAGTTCTTAAACTTTAAATGTGGAATTCTATATTACCGTATTTTCCGGCGTATAAGACGACCCCCCCCCATTTTCCAGTCAAAATATAGAGTTTTAGCACCTCTATTCTCATTATCCTTATATCCGGCGTATAAGACGACCCCCCCCCCACTTTAGCCACAGATTTTGCAGGTAAAAAAGTAGTCTTATACGCAAGAAAATAAAGTACTTTGAAAAAAATCAAAAGCCCACATGTGGTAGAAAGCATACAGTTTGTTGTACCATTGTAAATGATCCAAGGCCAGCTCACAAAAGTTGCTTTAAAAAGCAGTACAATGAGTGTTGGACTCTGGAGACCAGGGTTCGAGTTCCAGCTCAACCATGGAAATCCTCTAGGTAGTCTTGGGCAAGTCACATGCTATCAGCCTCAAAAAATGGCAATGGCAAACCCCCTCTGAACAAATCTTGCCAAGAAACCCAGGGTAGGATTTTCTTAGGGTTTTCATAAGTTGAAAACAACTTGAAGGCACACAACAAAATGTGATTCATATAGTTCGCCACTGCTGCTTCTTTAAATTTTGGCACTAGTGATCAGGAAGCATTACCATAATGCTCAAAGACACTTTTAGAACATTGTTTATTCTCTTTAGACTGTGATATTTGAAAGGTTTCTCTTGTGTAAAGCAGTATGTTTGTGTTTGTCATAAAATCAAACATTTTATCATTCTAGAGCTAAAATAAGGATTATTTTAATTTGGGAGGAAACGGAGCTTTTGTTTATAAATGTAAGCTTAAATGTAACTGTAATGTAAAGAAAGTTGTTTACTTCAATGAGAAACTTTGTATGTTTTATAGTTGAATGAACAATAAATTATTCCTGTGTGTTTAAAAGCTTTTAAACTTCAATAATAAAACTTTTCAATTTCTATAGTCTTAATAAGTACTGTATTCTTCACAGTGTTGCCTTTTGGAACATTAAAAACTCAATTCTCTTGTCTCTTCCCTTTACTCAAGATTATGTAAATACTTTTTTATGTAGAAAGTTCTTATGTTCAAAATGGAATTCGCGTTTGTTGCCTCTATGCAGTGATAATACTGTATTCCACTTTAACTGCCATGGCAGCATCCTGTTGATTCCTGGGGTTTGTAGTTGGGTGAGTCACTAGAGCTTTCTGGCTGAAAAATCTAAATACGCCTTCCTAAAGTACAGTTTTCCATAGGATATCCTTTCAGTTTTTTAAATATACCATCTTGAATGCATTTTTGTTTCAGGACAGAAACAGTATATCATCTGGCCTACGGTATAGTCACCTGGAGTATGATGAAATGGATTGGTACAGTTGTTAAGCATTCCCTTGCTTGCATTTGCCCACTCATGTCAAAATGGATTCATTTTTGCTTTGAATTTCTAGAAATTATTATTATTATTATTATTATTATTATTATTTATATACCGCCCAATGGTTGCCCAATCCGGGCGGTTTACAACATAAAACACATTCACAATAAACAGCATCCCCCCCCCCCCGGTAAAAGATTATTAAACAATGACATAGTTAAAATCCATTAACAATTTAAACAGAATAAGATCATGATAATTAAAATCTTTAAAGAATGGGGAGGGGCGTTGCATTTTATGGCAGGCATCTTTAAGACTAACCAGTTTATTTTAGAATGAGCTTTTGTAAACTACATTATGTGGAATTCCTTCTAATCTCATGCTAAAATTGATTGGTTAGCATTAAAGGTGCCAAAGGGCTCCTTTTTTGTCTTTCTTTATACGGAAACAGAATAACATGCCAGTATCCTAGAAAAAGTGCAGACTATGTTAAAAATGAAATCAGAATCATACAAATGAAGCTTATTTTGTACCACTTTTTTCCTTTGGAATGTTGGTTTTCAAAATCATTTTGTAAAAATTGGAATGGAGCCTGCTAGAATGAGGTGCATGGAAAGAAATGTCATGGAAAAATGGGATAGAGGAAAGGGGCAGGGAATAGTAGCTATGATGCAATGTTGGTAGCTGTCCTAGGATATCTGGTTCACAGAATCTATTTCTGCATTTTCCAGTTTTGAGAGAGATGGATGCATTTAGCAGATCTAATAGCTACTAAGATTTTTACCCTTTCCCAATGAAAGTTAGAATTCTTAGAATGTTTTTTCTCCAGAAAAGCAGTTTGTGCCACTTAAATGTGGTAAAATACAACCTGAGGGTTGTATTGCTCTGACAGGTCCTCAAGCCTTTCTGTTTGGAAAACAAATGACTTATTCTTTTGAAACTGACAGCTGTTATTGCTTTAAATATCCCAGCTGTGTTCTAGAAGTAAAATAGAGCTTAGTTGTATTAAGGTGTTCTTATTGGGGGGGAAAAAGTGTTTTACTATCAGCTCTCCCCCCCCCATTAGTATGAAGATCAGCCAGAATAATTATGCTCACTGAGAAATGCATCCTTAATCCGTTATAAGTCGGTTTCAGAACCCAAATAGGGTAACAACAGTCATTACATTTTGCAGTATACATTTCAAGTTGTACAAGATTTTTTAAAAAAAAACAAAAAAAACACATACTGTTGGCCTATTTCTTTGCTTTTCATATTTGTTTCCTCATTAGTTTCCGTTGTGTTCTGTGGTGGGAATAGGAAAGTGCCAGCATTCTCAGTTTAGATAGTTTGGTTAGGCAGTAGGCTCCATCGAGGTGTGGGAGGGGATTTGAGTGCTAATTTTGTGCTTCGGATAAAGATGCCATTAATTGCAGGAATGGGAAAGCCGACTAAAAGGAGTTAATTGTCCTGTGTAAGATACTGGTTTGACACTTTACATCTTATTGCTATAACAGCTTACCAGCCAAGGAAACTGACAGCCTGATCTCTGTT